GGGAAGGTGAGCATCATAGAATGCCAATTTAATAGAAGAAAGTATTCTTGCATCGAGGGAGTACTTGAGTGGAGGCCCAATGTCCTTCTGCTACCTTAATACTAGGCCTATAAATATATGCACGTAGATCTATTTCCCCATCCTCATATATAAACATATCTGCATATGTACATGTCTTTATCTAGACCTCTATAAATGCCCTTTGCCTCCCAGCTCTTTCCTCTATTTCCCTTGACTTTCCTCCTGTTTGACACCGTTCTTGAGACTGCTTCTTTTTTTTTTAATTTTACTTTTTCCTCCTCTTTTTTTTTTCTTTTTTAACATTTTATTAGGGGCTCATACAACTCTTATCACAATCCATACACACGAGACTGCATTTATGAGATACATCTCTGTGCCTTTCAGTAGTTATATTGCAACCGCTCTTATTTATAGGATCGTTATGAGTTGCAATTGACACCACGGCAATGAGTTTGGTTTGTTTTTTCTTATTTATAGTACTCTCTTTCAGAACAGTTAAAATTAGACTCCTGGGATCCTGGGGCACTGGCGATATAAGAAGGGGCGGAACAGGGAAAACTCCTTGTGCTATCCATCCTGACTTCCTGAAAGAAAGGAGAGTCTTACCTCTTACATTCTGAAATGACTGGAATTTATCACGTTAACTGACATTACAGGTAAAAAGGTTTTCTCACATATTAACTACTAGGGTAGAAATCATGAAGGAAGATCTGTTTTCTTTACTTTCAAAATCCAAAATTCATGTGTTCGTGTTCCCTCAGATTCATCTCGTTTTCTTAAAAAAAAAAAACAAAACACACCCCCCCCCCAGAAAAAACCAACAAAACAACCTATTAACTAAAAATACTGTACCCTGCAGACTAAGGCCTTTCCCACATTCATGATACTTGAGATGGACGAATTCCTACTCATTTGAAAAGAAAAGGAAGTCAGAAAGAAACATTCTAACCATCATTAAACATGATAAACCTAATGGCGCGGGACCCAATACTTCTCAACTTCTAGTGAGTCCTTTTCCTTGTTAAGAAAGTTACCTCCCAGTAAATAAAGTCTCAGGTAAAGGGGCAGAGAAATGGTAAAGTGAGTTCCTGTTTCCTTCCATCACAACGGCCAACGGCATCTGAATCACGGCCCCAGGAAGGCGAAGGCAGGAGCAGCACAGCCGCTGAGCAACACCCAGGAAAGGGAGTTTAGCATGAACAGGGCTTGCTAAGTAGGGAAGAGGATATGGACAGATTATCTGAGCGTTCTGTCCTAGAAGGGGAAAGTAAGCAGAATCCACCTATCCTGTGCTTGCCTTCAGACAGCCCTGTGTGTTAAACACCCATAATCTTCCCCGGCTAGCGCAGCGGGCAGCACCGTCACCCCCTCGGGGAGTCTGGGTCCTTGGTATTTAGACGCTCGTTACACTAAATGAACACAACTTCAGACACGGGAATTTTGGTTGACTGTTTCCTGTGCGCCACCAGCCTGTGTTGTGTCCCAGCTGCAGAACCCTGGTGGACAGAACCAGGATGGCTCGGCCACGGAATATTTCAACGGACTTTTCCACAAGCCAATCGTGACTAGACGGGCTACTGACTGCATTTGATCTGCCTCAAAAATCAGTGTACACTCAACCACTGGCAGATGCCTGGCGCTCTGACCTAAAACGATACAAAAGTAGGTCATTCAACGAAACTGGGCTGGGGGGGAGGGGGTGGTCGGTTTGAGGGAAAAATGTGTGGGTT